ACTGAGAATAAAATAGTTACAGTGGATTAGAACCCTTGGACAGATTTAACATGTGAAGTTCTACTAAATGCATCAAACAGAGAAACAAGACAAGATAATCAGCTGATTTTATTTGGTAAAAAATATATCAGTCTGGCTTTGTTGCCAGTTTGATTTATCTCCCTACTACTAAAATGGGATGCCATAAAGGTAAACATTGTGGTAGGAGAGAGGAGGTTGAATCTTACTGGAAGGAATTTGATTTCTTAATTTACCAAAAAATCCACATGAGGGTTGTTCACATGGAAGTGTATCATTTAGCTGTATTCTAAATTTATATAAATATAACAAAAAAATATAATATTGTGCAATACAAAACTCTCTATTGTTTTTCAGGTATATCTTATGGCATATAATTTAGTTTAATTGGAAACCATACTTAAATTTATGGTTAAAGTAATTAAATGATGAATTTGATAGAAGAAATATAAAAACACTTTGATAAGGTAAGTAAAAATTATATATCAGTTATAATACCATAAATATTCTGTAATATCTTTAATTTCATGATAGCTGTATTGGGTTAATCATTTGCTCTGACGTTATTTGTCTGCTTTTGACAGCTATATGTTTTGGAATTTAAAAGTGATCAAATAGTTGAGATAAAAACTAAAATCATAGGCAGATTTTATGTTTCTGAACTTCTTTAAACACATCCAAGTGTGAATGGTCTCACTATCAAAACGATTCTATTTAACCACAAAGGTTATTTCTTATTCAATCTTCTTACTCATTTATGATTGTTACCTTTTGTTGCTTCATCAGAATGTCTTTGCTTTGAAAAATGCAGAGGAAAGAAAGAAGAAAAAAACTAAAGGTCACATTTATTATGTAAAAATTCTTTCTTGTCACATGAACTCTGTCATGCACATATTGAACATATTGAGTAATGTATTTATTTCAAATTTATGCTACAAAATTGTTTGAATCACAATTCACTATTAAAAAAATTACTCAGATTTAATTAATTAGTTTCAATAATTGCCCCATAACAAAAAAGTCTATGGGAAAACCCACCAGGAATCCTAGAGAAAAAGAATGAACTTTATTAAAATGGAGAAAATTCTTGATATCATTGTATTTTAGACAAAGTTTAAAAGAATGTTGTAACTTCTATGAATTTTGCAATTGATCTAAATCCTTTTATAACCATTTATAAAGTACGAACTTTGTCTTTTATTTAAAGTATGAGCATAGTCTTTTATTTAAAGTACTTTTCTCAGCTAGAAGGAAACAAGAAATATATTACATTATTTTCAAATAAGACTCTAAAATATTTTTGAATTTTGAAACTGCATCTTTAATGCTTAAAACATATATATGATACCAGGGCCATTCTTAATTTAACTAATTGAGGTTTTTGATCAGTTCTTATTAACATCAATTTTACTAATTATGTATAAAATCAAATTTTGTTTCAAAATGACATAGGGGAAAGTAACCAAGTTATGTAAAATTTTAAAATCTCTCTTGGTTTCTTTGGTTCATATAACATAACTTTGCTTATGGATAAAATGTTTTAGCCATTCAGCAACAGCAAAGAAAAACTTGGTTTCTGTTTAAAAGGAAAATCTGCATTCTAGACCAATAAAGAAAAGTCTATTTACTATATTAGGCTGTTCACTGAAATTTAGTTTTCTACCTTGATGCCACGCTAACTAGATGAAAGACACATCAAAGTAACATAGGAGATTTTACTTTTTAAGACCCTAGGAGCAAAATCCTTTGTATTTGAATGACTAAAACAACTTATCTATAATAGGATTAGACCTACTTTGTTTCTGACTGATCATTCTTGGTGTATTGAGATATATTAAGCATTGTAAACAATTATTGTCTCTTTTTATGTTTTAGCCTTGGTGGGGTCCTTATTTTCTGCAGAGTGAACTTCACTGGCTTCTGTTAGTAAAATGAGAGCCTATAACCAATCGGGGTGGATAGTAGGAGAAGAAGTTGAGGGAAAAGACAGGGGATGGGGAGAGAAGAGACTAGGATTGAGATTCTTCTAGGAGTTTCCATTACAGTTAATGGTCTGGTTACAGATCTACTGGGGGATGGAGTTTGGTAAGAAAAGAGAGCTAATATTAATGTTTGGATTGGCTTAAGATTTAGCTTTTCTCAGAAGAAAGATTATAAAATGATGCACAAACAGTTCTTGCCTTCTATGAATAGATTTAGAGAACTTTCTTTACCTGCTGGTTTCACTAGACAACTATTAGATTGCAGCAAATCTATTTTCCAAAAGTGGTCAGCTGGAACTTACCATGTCAATCTGTTGGAAGGAAATAAAATGCTTGTTCTTTCTTTAGGGGGATTAGGAGATAATATTTTGACTAAATAAATGGTGATAACCTACTACAAACAATAACAGTAGTTCTGGCCTCTTAACCACATTAGTCTTTACTTACTTAAATTTTCCCATCAAAGCTTTTGGCCCCAGTGGAGTGGGAACATAACTTAATGTCCCCTTTCAAGAGCAAATGAAGTTATTTCTTAAAATAAGAAAATCAATAAAACTCCTACTTATTTACTCTTTTAGATTATGACTAACCAAGTGAAGGCAGAAATGGTCAGATAATACTAGGTGTAACCAAAAGAGGGCATCATCTACCCTTAATGTCTGCACAGAGCTTCTGTGATTGTAATCCCACAACTCTCAATCCATGACAAAAGAACACCCCATGGTCCCTGGCACTCTGCACTCTATAGGGAGACCAAGTCATGACATCACACATTAAGGAGTGTCTGGCCAGTTCTTCACTTTAGGATTGATATCTACATTCAGCACACACAATTCCTGAAATTTCAGCGACCAGAAGCAAATGGTTAACATTCCCTGTCTAACTTTACACAGACAGTCTGAGTTTAACATTTTATAGGGCACGGAGAAAATTTCCTCTTAGACTAGGATACAAGCTGGCATCAAATAGCATAAGAATAATGTGAAAATTCACTTCCTAATTGTATCTTAACTTCGAGGGCTTATCTATTAATGATAGGTAGTGAACAGTGGCAGTAGGTGGCAGTAAGTTCTCCTGAGCACAGGGAAGATGCTTTTGGATTTGAGGTATGGTGGGAAATAGTTTAAAGCATAATTTTAGGCTTTTAGTAACAGAAGCTTAACAAATGTTCTTCTTGAAAGTAGGAGGAAAAAAATGCCCCAACATTATGCATATTTTTTGCTATATTCTTAAATATATTTTATAATTAACGTATAATTTAAATAGTAAATAAGTGTTGGGGCTGAGAGCATGGGGTTGTACATCCTTGTATATAGTGAATTTCTTCAGGGCGGTGGGAAAGAATAGTGTAGGCTCTTAAGTAAAATTGCCAAACTTGCCTTAGAAATTCATTATGCCGGAGAACACATTATCTTTGAGTCACTGACATTAGCAGTTAAACCAGAAAGTTTGGGGATGTATATTCTGTTTCCTAATAGGGACAGCTGTTCTGAAGGAAATGTGAATTCTGAGAGGATGATCATTTTTGAAAACAGATTTCACTCCCTCGAAAAATATCACTACCACATGCTATTGAAGGGAAAACCTGGTGGGGAAAATATTTTATATCCTGCTTGAATAAAGAAAAGCGACCCAAACAGTTTTTTATTGTAGTGGAGGAGGCCACTCTCACCTACCAATACTAAAATTTATCAGGATTTAGCCTTTCTTTAAATGCAATATTTTTTTCCCTTTTTCTTCTCTTCCTTATCCTGTTCCAGAGAAAGAAAAACTCACTACCTGGCAGAAAACATTGCGTAAGCCTCTGTTTCTTTCCTCCACAAAGCAACTAAACAGAGGAAAAACCGAGTTCACAAACATCCCAACTCGCTCGTGCCAAGGTACATCAGAGAAGCCGAAACAGATTAAACGAGTATGGGATGGGCTCACTGCAAGGTCTTGAATTAAAATCTAAATGTTTCACCTCGTGGCCAGGAGAGCTTTTTCCCAGGGTGGCCTCGACCCTGGTCTCTTGGCCCCAAGGAACAGAACTCCAGATGGTTGACAGGAAGTTGGGGGGAGTAGTCACCTTGGTCCCCGAGAACAGAGTTCCTTTCTGAGCCACCTCATCCAGTCAACCACCTGTTACTCTCCAGTCTGGGCTTCTCAGAGACAGAATTATAAAATGAGCCACAGCCTCATTCCCGTGGTCAGGGCTTTGGACGTGGTATTAGGAAAAGAAAGGGTGGGAGGTTCCCCCCAAGGAAGACAGAGAGTTTCGGGACCCCCCCTTGGAAGTCGGCGCCGCTGTTTACTCGCCTGGCCGCCTTCAGCCCACTTCCCTTTCCTCCCCCGGGGGAGGAGATGGTTAAAGATTACACTGCGGCCATCGGTACTTCAAAGGGCGGCTCGGGCAGCCAAAGGTAAAGATAACGTTCTGGCAGCTCTAATCGGGGTTTGTGGTTGCCACATTTTAATCACTCCGTTAAAAAAAAAAAAAAAAGTTATGTCGCGCTACAGTGCTAAGGATGCAGAGCAAGTCCCTTAGAGCTGGGCATGTTAGGTTTCTCCTGTGGGACACTTTATAGCCCATCTCTTCATGGAAAGCAACTGGATGAAAACCGGGGGATTGGGGTAGGGACCAGTCGGGCATCCTGCCCTTGGGTTTCAGCCTCCTGGGCACAAAAGCCCATTCTGCACAAAAATGCCTGTACACTTGTGCTCACTCTGCACACAAATGCCTGTACATTCGGAGGAATGTGCCCTGCGACGTGCCTAGTTCTGGACTGCAAAGCTGCGGCGCACCAGCTCTTTCCCTGGGTCGCAGTGAATCCATTTCGTTACACACCTCTAAAACACGTGCATTTCTCCGGGGAGCCGAAACTGGTCTAGCCAGGATGCCCTTGGCAAAGTCGCCCGCCCCCTCCAAAGCAGGAGGGCGCTAAGTCTCCCAGCCTTGACTCAGAGTAGCTCCCTCCCACTTCTAGCCCCCTTCTGGGAGTGAGGTGGGGGCGCACTTACAGGTAGGAGGTGAAGACACTGATGTTGGAGGGCAGCTCCGAGAGTCCCAGGTCCGAGCAGTCCACCCTGAGCAACATTCTGCCGTCGGGCTCGCAGTGACAGTGTGTGGGACAGCCCCGCGGTAGCGCACCGGGCTTGGGCGAGCCGCCTCCAGCCGCTAGCTGCAGCAGCACAGGCAAGGACAGGAGCACGCCGACGCGGGAGGTGTCCATGGTGCCCAAGGCAGGGATCCGCGAGCCAGACGCCAGCCGAGGGCAACGCCGGGACTGTTGTGGACTGTGGCGCGCCAGGCGGCGCTCCTCCGGCTTCTGAAGCTCTGCGGGCGTCTGTAACACTGGGCGCCGCGCTCCTGCCCCCCGCCGGGAGCGCAGAGAAGAAGTTCCGCGGGGATCGCGGAGCACGTTGCAGCCACGCTGGCCCCTGGAGCAGCCCTTGATGCAGTCGCGGCAGTAGCGGTGCGCGTTGCTGCTGCAGGCGGTCTGAGCTGTGTGCAGCAGCATCTCCGCTCGCACGCTCGTTTTTTAAAGCGCTGGATCCCGAATTGCGCGCCCAGTGACGTCAGCGCAGCCCAGCTTTCCAGACACCCCCAGCCCGGCCCCACTTTTCCTCCGCTCGTCCCCTCCCTCTTTTCCCGAGACCTGGCTGGGCGGCAGCAGGCGGCGCGAGGTGCTGGCGAGTTCGCGCTGTGACTGCGCCTCCGCTGGGAGGATTCCAGCGCTCTGCGCCACGCGCCAGGCAGGGGATCCCCACCCTCACCCCTTTTTGCGTTATGGAAACTCAGTTTCGAGACCTGAGAGGGACCTGATTCAGAGCGACATAGAGACCCAGGGTAGGAAGGATAAGGCACGTTTCCTCCAGCCCGCTTCAAATAATGGAAAAGAGGCATGGAGAACTTTAAAAAAGACTAAACTCTAATCTAGAAAAATAGTTACCGGGGTAAGAAAGCAAGAGCTCTCGGCAAACGATGGGTGGCCTTTTTAGTCCTTACGTCAGAGCACTGTCTGGCTCGCTTTTGCCCTAAAACCAAAGCGCTGGACTAATCATTAAATAAATACAGTGGAGAGCGAGCACTCCCGTGCTACTCTCCTAACTCATGCGGGGTGAGGAAGTCGAAGTGACTTTTTAAAAAGTGTTTAGAATCCAAAGTTAGTAAAATGATGTAGGATGGCTGTTTTCTTTTGTTCCGGGAACTTTTCATCCCTAAATGTCTCAGGGTTCTCTTGAACTAGGCGCAATCCCACCTAGATGAGTAGCACTGGGCTCCCAGCACCTCTGCGGAGCGCTAGTGAAAAACGCACGTTTCTTATTAAAAAGTGTCCTACAGTGAATCTGCAGGAGACAGGAGGAAAAGAATTCAGGGCTTTCTTGGAGAGAAGACCTCAGTGAGGTAAAAGTTGCCCTCTTCACACCCGAGTGAGCTGCTCAAAGAGGTGTCAGTCCAAGCCTGCCAAGCTAACTCACAAAAATGTACAATTTTCACTCCCAGGCACAATGCCTCATTGCTTCCTGAAGGCAGGGAACTCTTTTGAATTTCAAGGTCCCTCTTAATCTTCTACTTAGGCTGACCACCTGAATTTCCATATAAAGTTCTGTCTGAATTTTACAGTTGGGAAGGTTGTTCTGTGTGTGTGTGTGTGTGTGTGTGTGTGTGTGTGTGTGTGTAGTATACTTATCCTGCAGTCCTGTCTATTCCTTCACCCGTGAAACTTCAGAAATACATAGATTCCTTGACCTAAATCTGTATTCTGAACATGCTCTTTTCTTGAGGAAGTCCATTTATCAGCAAGTTTGTGATTCTCTGTGATATAAGAAGAGAGACATTGGGGAGATAATTATAGACTCCACTTTCTCCTTTCTCCTCATTTTGCAAATAAAGTAACTGTGGCCCAGAATTTGGTAAAACTTGACAGTGCCATTAAAAACTGTGAGTTACCCCTGGCTTCTGGATAATCAGAATTGTGCTCAATTCTGTCCTGTTCCCTCTCTTGCCCCAGGTACACTGCATTGACTCCCACTCTTTGCTTATTTTCACATTATTCTTGCTTCTCTCGGCTGTTCCTTTTGCATTTATAGGATGTCTACTAATTGCCTGTCCTTCCATAAAAAAAGAAAAATCTAACTCCACATTATTTGTTTCATAATTGGAACTCAAGACATCATTTCTGTGAAACCTCCTACAGATATTTGTGGAAATATGACTGGGATGCTGTAATGTCCCTCTTCATGAAACTTGCAATCTAAAAGGATGACTGACTCTGGACAGTAATCCCAAGGGTGAGTGTCTCATTGAAGGTATGTTATAAATAACACAAGATTTAGACCTAGAGTTTTCCTGGATACATAGTAGGTTTGTTTTGTCAACTTTATGGTGACCACTTTGGAGGAAGGGACTAGGCCATTTGTGTCTTCTTTACCTGCAAGACTCAAACTATGAGCTCATAACAATGAGTTCTTAACAAATATTTGTTGACTAATCCAGATTTGGTTGTGTTAACTCACGATCCATTTAAGAGCACGAAAGGGCACTTTCTTTGACACCAAGGCTGTTAAAAGGAGCATAGCACTTTGATTGGGGGATGAGTCAGGCAGAACTGTATTTGAATCTAGGTTCTTCCAGTTTCAGGTTGATTGATCACAGACACAAAATGAGCCTAGGTAAGTCTCAGTTACCTTCCCTGTAAAGGGGATATCATTTACCTAGGTAGTTCCATATCTGGAACTTAGCCTAGAGCAGATTTTCAACCTATTAGTGCCTCTCCTCTTCTTTGGGGGAATTTAAACTCGTTAACAAATGCAAGTAGAGCTGAGAAATATCTGATTCAATTATATGGGGAAGACGGATATGCTGGATGATCCCAAGAGTAATGAACATCTGTTACTTTTTTTCTTCTTTTTTTTAAGAGAGAGAGAGAGAGAGAGAATTTTTAATATTTATTTATTTTTTTTTTTAGTTTTCAGAGGACACAACATCTTTGTTTGTATGTGGTGCTGAGGATCGAACCCGGGCCGCACGTATGCCAGGTGAGCACGCTACCGCTTGAGCCACATCCCCAGCCCAACTTTTTTTCTTTTTTGTATAGTCAACATATCCCCCTCTTCTTTTGGTAAGAGCAAAACACAGTTTTTCTTTGGGAAACTTCCTCCCAAACCTTAGAGCTGTCCATCATGTGGCTACATCTTCTGTCCTGGGATAGAAATGTGACCTGAACAGAACAATCCACTCCTGTGTGAGGTGTTGTCCTAGATCCTGAGGTGAGACAGTCTTCTCTTTCTGCTTGATGAAAAGGACAAAAACACGGAGCTCATGGGGGATGCTCTTCTGCTGCAGGGAGAAAGCTCATTGAAAATGAAACATTAGCACAAGCAAGGAGAGAAGTGAAATCCTAAGGTCATTCTTTAAACACCTGGATCTAAAGTCATTTCTGCTTAATCATCTCGAGACTGGATGAACAAGTTAATTTTGTTTTGTTGCTTGAGCCAGCGAGAATTCAGCTATGATCACTTGTGGACAAACATACTCTGTAAAAACCAGAGAACATGAAAGTTTGAGAAAGGCCTCAAGAGTCTTCAAGGTCTTGTCCTCCTGATAATAGAAAATCATGTGGATTGAAAATAAAAATTGTGTGGCGGATGGTGACTTTATTGCCTCAATGGCTGTATGCGAATCTTTTAATCTTAGATAATAAAGATGAAAATACAGTAAACCAGAGTTCTTGAACACTAAAAAACAAAAAACAAAAAAGTTTCAGTAAGGTTTTTGAGCAGTTGTCTCTCTGTTTCTGTTGAAAATGCCATTTAGTTTACAAGGTGATGTTTTCAAATTGTGTGAAAAGGCATTGACTCAGCCTTTTATGTAGTCACGTGTTCTCACTTGGAAGAGATGGATATGATTCTTACCCCACACTGGAGGATGGGAGAGGCAAGTTGTTTTCCTAATGGTTGCTAGGGAGCTAGTAATGAAGCCAAAATTCCAACCAGTTTTTTGATTTTAAATCCTGTACCTTTTCCCTAATACCTTGGGAAGTCTAGCCACATATGGACTTTAAACTGGATAGGACCTTGAATTTACTGTCATTTTATTGTGAAAGAAATTCACATACTTTTGTTAAAGAAAAAAAGTGAGGTCTTTTTTAACTGCAGTAGAACCAGTTGGAGTAGAGAATAGGTTATTTTTTGTTTGTTTGTTTTCATTTCTAGGGATGGAACACAAGGCTTGTACATGCATGCTGGGCAAGTGCTCTGCCACTAACCTACATCCTCAGCCCCTTTTATTTTATTTTGAGACTGGGTCTTGCTAAGTCTCCCAGGCTGGCCTGGAACTTGGATTCTTTTGTTTCAGCTTCCTGATTATTTGGGATAACAGGTGTGTGCCCCTTTGCCTTGTCAAGAATTTTTTTTGTTGTTGTTAACAGTAAAGACAAGTATATTTTGAATCTTTTTCCTTCTGAAGTATATATCATTATCTATATACACACACATATATATCTATACACACATGTATGTATACATATATGTATATACATATATATACATATATCTATATACACACACATATATTTTGGGTTTCTCTCAACAACCAGTTACTTACAAGAATACATACTGGTGAGAAATCAGAGAAGAGGACCACCCCCTCTTACATGTGATAATAAGGTTAGTAGGGTAAAGTTAGTTCATTTAGTATTTGTTTGCATTTGATGTTCTTATTTATAATTTTGGGAAGTATCTTTGTGTTAATGAGCTACTGAATAATGGAATATTTCTTGCTGGGATGGAAATTACTCTTTTTTGGCCCTTTTAGATTGCAAGTTCTTTTTTGTTTTATTTATTATTTTTAGTTATACATGACAGTAGAATATATTTTGACATATCATACATACACGGAGTATAACTTCCCATTCTTGTCATTGTACATGATGTGGAGTTAAACTGGTTGTGTATGCAAGTTCTTAAAACTGATTTTGTTAAAGTGTAGTCCAGTATGTGTCTACTTTCTGGGCTCCCTAAAACGGATGTTTTCCTATTTCTTTAATCTTTGATAGAAGTCCACAACGAAAAACATTCACATACACCACAAGAATTACTAATAAGTTTAGCCAAGGCATGCCAGGGTAATTTTAGTTAACAGGTAAGTCAATATTTCTTTTACAAGTATAGTGAAATAGTGTTTACACAACTGGTGGGCTATTATAGACTTATTTAACTTGTTTGAAAGAGTATAGAGCCCATTATTTGCCCTGCTCATTTTACATTCATGATATAATCAGGCTTATGCTGAATTTCTTAACTTCCTTTCACCAACAAAGCCTAATTAATTGAGAAAGGAGGAGGAGGATTTAGGAATAAAGATCTATTTTCTTTCAGAATTATTTATTTTGTGAGAAAGCATTAGTTCAGCTAATTCATTACTTTGAAATAGCCTATTATGTAAAATCAATTGGATCTGTCTTTGATTTTATCCAACATAAAGGCAACCTTTAAACATATCCACATGT